TCCGTACGTAACAACCTAGTGCGTAAAATTCCTGTGCGGAACATTCCTCGTGCGTAAGGTACCCGTGAGCATGATTCTGTGCGCAAGTTTCCTCGTGCGCATGAATCCGTGCGCAACATTGTTCGTACGCGTCGTTCCTAAATCCGGAAATTGACTTCGAGAACCGTTGGAGATGAACAGGATGATAAAAACTCCGCTGGCTAAACTTGCAAGCCTATCTAGTCCTAGGATTTGGAAGATAAAATTCTCTTTCATACGTCTTCGTCACTTATATGCTTATCAGAAAAACAAGTATACTAAATTTTGCACATTTCAAAAAAGATGTGTTTTTCGCGAAAAACGACATCTTCCAAGTTTTTGATCTTTTTACCTGAAAACAAAAAAAAAACTTTCACTTTAAGAATCTTTAATATATTATTATAATATTAATTAAAGAAATTAAACTTTTTTGCTAAGAACTAATTTTTCATGATCAGCAGTTCACGCTCTATCAAAATATGTGTATATGTGTGGAAAAGACTAGACGAAAACAAAATTTTACTCGAAGTTCCATTAATAAAAGTGAAATGTTTAAAAAAACAATTGTGAAAAATGTTTAACTTTATGAAGACACATTATTGAGCTAGATGATACCCATTTTGATGAGAACACTCATCCTTGCATAACTGAAATTTACAAATTTTTCCTGAGGAAACGGAAAGAGTTCACCTTATATAATAAAAAACCTTAAGCCACCATACCTAGTTATATGTTGGCAGATAGCATCAGACAACAAGGATAAGATAACAAGGTCACATTACTCTAGTAATACGGTCTTTATTTATTAAAGCATGAAATACGAAATACAGGATGGAATCTATTTTCTGAAAAAAAATAAAGCAGGAATTAAAAAAATGCCAACAGAAAAGGAGCAAAATCTTGGACAAAAACTGCGATTATATCTTCAATTTTGAATTGCATCAGACTGGAATTATGACGTGAAGTACTAGAGGTAGCGTAGAAATATAGTATTGTATCTAGAGCATTAAAATAGAATCTATAAACAACAAATCAAATAAATTTAAGGAATTGTACGATTAAGATAAGTAGAAAATGAGGGAACTTCTCTTGTATATGTGTCTTTCATATATGGTGATGTTAAAATGAAATCAGCTGTCGCTAAATCCCAGGCCATTGGGATGTTCCATACCACTGCTATACGTTGCAATGCTTTAACATCAACATCGTGTGGTTGTGCAGTCAATGGGTCGATCATAAATATTAAAATATCGATCATTTGGTCAGCTTTTTTTGCACCTAGTTGTTGATCTCCACCTAATGGACCACTTTTATATTTTATGACTGTTGTACCCAACTCTTGTTCAACTAATTTACCAGTTGTTCCTGTACCGTATAATTCATGTTGTAATAACTGTTGTCGATTACGCTTAACCCATTCTAACAGTTCAGGCTTTTTATTGTCATGTGCAACAAGTGCTATACGTTTACGTTTTCCAACTTGAAATGACATTTGCTCTTGTTGTGCTACCTGAATTAATATAATTCGTGTTATCCATCTAGGAAAGGTATAAGGTCAAAAAAATTTAACAATCAGTAAATCATGTATTATCACCAAATTAGTGGATGAAGTCTGTCAAAAGACTATGGAGTACTCTCAAACTTTGGAAAAAATTGCTCCGCTGTTGTGAGCAAAACGCTTTTCTTATGGAAAAGCTCGTTTTTCTAAGTTTTCCCCAATTTTTTTAGGCAATACCAGTTTCCAGCTAAAATTTTGATTCATCTGCAGTGGCAACGTATGAGTCATAAATTTTTCGCTGTCTTTGAAAAAACTATTACATTATAGGTAGATAGTTCGAGGCGCTAAACAAAATGCCTGACTCAGTATTCCCAAATTCTAAGTTTTGACTCTCCTACTTACGGTACTCCTAAGAAAGTTTAGAAAATGGTTTCTTGGATATTCGTTGGAACTGGTGGACTATATGGAGTTCGCTACGCTAATCACAAATTAATTAACTGGTCATCCGTGATTAAATTTTGTTGAAAAAGTGATTTATCAAAAGTGATAAATCACGTCCAGAAGCATTTTTATGCAAAATCAATGTAATATTCAGAATCTACGCAAAAAGCTGCATCGAATGATATATAATTCGATGTGTTTCGAGAAAAAACGTTTTCGTCCAAAATTTTAGGCAAAACACCTGAGGGAGATCTCAGGCAAAAATGTCGATTGAAACTTTTTGTCTGCCTTCAAGCTCAAACTTAGGTGAAAAAGGTTTCTCGACATGCCCGACCCGAATATCACGGTCTCTCGGCTGGAATGATTGCGAATAAAAAGTGGATAGTTTTCATACAGTTAGACGTTTCTGGAGAACACTGCATGCATATAAGGAAGGAAAAGACTATAAAGAAGTTTTAACAATGTTTTCCAGTAGTTTCTGTAAAGAAAGTATTATGTCAGCGTACAGTATACTGTGAAAAAAGGGGTGTATTTTTGAAAAAAGGTAAAGGACCATTTTTTAGCTGAAGTTGCGATGTTTGGTAGGATATGTTATACATTAGAGAAGAAAGAGAATAAAGAAACACTTGATTTTAGTGTAGGATATTGAAAACAATAGTCTGTGTGTTTATCGGACACGTGTTCCATTAAACCTGCTCTTATACCATTATCAGTTGCTAAAGACAGGGGACTCAGCAGGTGGCGTATGAGCGTTACCTTGTAAGTTCGTAGCAAACCAGCCTAGTTACTCGATTGGCACAAAACCACCATTATTGTCTGTTCGAGAGATAGTCACTATAGTTATTCAAGAAACAATGCAGCTAGAGCACTTTTGTCGCAGCTCGATTTCTTTCTGCTAGAGATATCTTGAGTAACCACCAGTATGACTCAGTGTCTAACGAGAGTGTCGTTGCATTTTCAATGCCTTAAATGTGATTACGTGATTTATCCGTGGTTGATGGGTGACTCGGTGTCTTGACAGTAACTGGTGTATTATGCCTTTTTGATGAACTAGTGGTGTCTATCAAATGCACCTAAGCGATTGTTTTCAAAAAAAGCAGTGACTTACGTGGTTTTTTAAAGACATTAAGGCGACTAACGGTAAAAATATGAGAACATACGCTTCAAAATGCACTGTGGGCCACAGGTGAGCGATGACGAGAATCCTCGCGAGGCACCGCTATTCTTCGCGCAACGGTCCCCGCGAAGAAGAATTTTTGAAAGCCTGATGAGGCAAACCTCGCGGAGGACACTTGTTGGTTGCTAGCGAAAGACGAAATGGAGACGCTGGACCGAATTTTTCTTAGTTCACTTGTACGAGCTGTTTTCTTTTGTTGTTTAAGATGTTCTGGTGTTTTCTTGGGCATATGTATATATTATGTTGGTCATCGTCAATTTGTTATTACTAACATCTTAGTGTTATGCGTGCGTAAAAGGAATTTAAAAACAAAAAAAGTAGTAAGTACAAACGAGGATATTCATTCAACACAAGCAACTAACAGGTAAGGAATCCCAGCGGCCATGTTACAATGTCTTTTCTCGAAAAGATCTTTCGTAGAAAACTTTTTATCAATAGTTGACGAAGGACGGGGCAACAAGCTTATGGGCGATCCCCGCGAACTAGGTTTCTCGAAACTTCACGAGGTACGGGACGATTCCCGCAAAGGAGCTAAAAATAGTCCATCGCCCTCCTCTGCTGTGGACACCAGTCGAGTGGTTTATCAAGACACTTTTTTTGACAGTGTAATATTGATAAATAAACTCTCTTGTTTTCTTATATGTTTTATTTGCCATTAGCATTACCGCAAGCACTTGTATTTTTCTAACGAATGTTTACAGTTAAGCATCTTTAAAATATATTTAAAAAGGGATACCAAACATAAATAATGCAAAGAAAGTTCATTAACTTACAATATACTGCTGGGTACTTCTCATTTATGAAAGAGTTTTCCAGCGACTCTTTGGAAAAACCCTATAGATCCTAAAAATGTATTCATTGAATTTAGCTCCGAAATGTATCTTTTCTGCGTTACTTTGAGGAATCTTGGTTGCGAACTAAAATTTTATCCGATAATGACTTGCCCGTTTTGTATACAGAGAAAGTGATATGCCTCAACACTGATGCGGCACTTCAAGAAAAGCGATGCATACTTTTTTTTTGTTTACTTAAAGGCAAATTGAATGAGATATGCACCAAGCTTATATCTCATCTCTTAACAGAAAAAAGTAGATAGGTTTTAAAAATTTGTTCGCGCGCTTTAGACTGTCTCGGAAAAAATATTCGATATTTTTCACAATCTAACGGTTTTATGAAATCCTGAATCTTTCCGGTATTTTGGAAAATTTTTCCTTCAAAATGCAATCCTTTTAAACTAAAACCTAGATGTTCCTGATCAACTCGTCGAGCTCTATTAAACCATGTATAATATAGTCAAAAATAAGATGGTGCTTAAACTTCAAAGTTGGTGCGCCTTATAAGAAAGGCAAATGTGGCATCCACTTAACATACGAATGATTTTGATTGTGATACTGGTATTAAACAAGTTAAACAAATAAGAAAAATTGAAACTAGATGTATTGAAACCATATTTCTAAAATAATAGAGTTATAAATAGATAATTTAATTTTGTAAAGTTATTTAAATAATAAACGTGTCGACCTCTTTTATTGAGACCTTCTTCAGTGATAATAATTGAAATACGATATATAAAAATATAAAATCGTTAAATACTGTTACATATAACATTAACTTGCTGCCTACAGCAGATTTAAAATGCAGTATGACTATTTACGAAAATTTTCCCCTTTAATCATCTATTTGTCTTTTTCTTTTGTTTTCCTTTTACAACACATATTCATCTTACCTCTCCCTATTCAGGGATAGAGCCAAGATGTACTTATTCATACTAAAATAGAAACTAAAAGAAGCGAAATAAAATAAATATTTAAAAACAAACGTTTTTCTCTCAACAATGAAGCACGACGGAAGAAATAGCGCAATTTGATGTTACATATAGGCTTATAAACCAAACAGAGTAATACTTGTCAAACACATTCTTTATAAGTCTTCCTCTTTTGTTCACGTAAACTACATCTAGTATTATGATATCTATACGTTACATTGTGACTAATGGTAATAGTACCTTCAGCCTGCACATAATTTCGTCTACTATTGGGTAAAAGTTCTTTCTCGTCCTAGGTTGGACCCACTTTTTGATAGTGGCCTTCCACTGTAGACTTATCATTTTATATTTATTATGACGGTTATTGGCGATAGTATATACAGTTTCCAGTTTCTTTCTTCTTGCCTAGGGCTTCTCTTTATCAAAAATAACACTTTCATCGAAATTTATATATTGTATTTCAATTATTATCACTGAAGAAGGCCTCAGTAGTAGAGCCCGAAACTTTTGGTATTTAAATAAAGGACGGGAGACAATAAGAGCCAAAATTCGCTCCTCCATAGATCAACTTTATATTAACCGATCTGATGTAGTTTTTGTCTGCAATTAACCCTAACATATTTTTAGGCCTTAAGAATCCTTTTTCAGTGCCCTTTGGAAACATTTTCGCAAAAAAAAACGTTTCCCTTCGTCAAATTAAACAAACTTCACCCACCCAGAGTATTTTTATTATTTCATCCCTTTCACCTAGAGAAAGTATCAACTATTATATACCTTTCGATAGAGAATTTCACGATTTACAAAATGTTATATAAAATATTCGGAAGAAAATGTAATTTCATAGTGTAAGATTCAAAATACTCGGTAGCATCTCAACAAACCAGTAGGTTAACATCGTTTATGTACATAATAGCCATTTATTTTCTCGTTAATCATTTTACTTTATATACCGCTCGATAGAGAATTTCACAGCCTATAGAATGACCTGTAACACATTATTTTAAACATTTGCCTTTGTAAATATATTGGACAAATACTTGCCAGATATCTCGATTTTTTTTCTATAGTGGCACATAAAAATGATTATAGTTTCTTCTACAAACAGAGGTTTGGCACAGTTTGTATATAGAAAGATGCAGAATCCCTCATTCTTATTCCAGAATAGAAGATCTTAGGGTGCTTTCGTGCAGGTCTTTCATGTTTTTACACTATCTCGAGTCCATAACGTTTTTCTATGCTTAGTTTGTAGCCGGCATCGAGTTGTATACGAATCCATTTTCTTCCTATATAAGTCAGGTCGCATGAGCGTGTCAATGGTCTAATTCGTTAAAAATCCGTCTAGGAGTCCGCCGTTTTTGTTTGAAATAATTATTTCAAATCAAAGTAACTCATTTACTGTATCCAGCTGCGAACCCTTCCATAACATTACTGAGCTAGTAAGTCGGCTTCAGCAGACGAGCTTTTCTTTATTTTCGAAATTCCAGATCACCTTTTTTGTCAGGAAAACTGACTTCGTGAGAACTGATTATCATGAGATGGACTTATAAGACTGCCGAAATAAAATACCTTTCATAATTACAATATTCGTCTTGAGTGTGTGATGTGAATAACAAAATAGAAGATCCGCTATATCTTGGTCGAAATATATCATTTCGAGCAAAAAATATGAATCTTTTTGATTGATAAGCTGTGGAAACGTGAGTGGAACATGGAAAAATATCAAGTTACTTGTGATAGATTGGAAATAAATAATCAAAAATCTGCAGAAACTCCAGGAATTCCGCAAAAACGGGTGAGAATGCGAAACTATTCTGTTAACTGAGATACAGTAAAGGGTGGCCCAGAAGTCCTGACCCGATTTGAATAATAAATTTTTCTATAGTGAAACAAGTGATAGTAAATTTGTATAGCGTTTTTTACTGCATCTTTTCTTCATAGAGACAAATTTACTATCACTTGTTTCACTATAGAAACATTTATTATTCAAATCGGATCAGGACTTCTGGGCCACCCTTTATAAGACCACCTGAAATTTGGACAAAGCTTGAATATTACTTGATGCATATTAACGTGCTCGAGAAAATTTGTTTTTCGTTGAAAAAATGAACGAAAAGTTGACGAGATCGACGCTTCGCACTGCTTCCTCCGTAAGTTTTTGACTTTTATAGTATGTAAAAAGGACTGAATATATTTTCTGTGAGAGAATCATTATTTTTGTCACGTTATAGGATAAGATTAAATAGCCAATACTTTTATGCATACTTATTTGCTTTTCCTGAAAAAAAGGAATAGAACAGAACAAAATATATTTGTTTGTTTAATAAAAAAACCGATAACAGTGTGTGTATGTGCGAGCGATACACGCAAAAAAGAATGATATTTAGATGAAGCCCATAGATCAATTCAAAAATATTTTTTTGTTTTCTGTTCACAATCAAACTGAATGCGGTACAACGCGTTTAGAAATTTATATTTCTCAGAACTATATGTTACACGATACACCCGACTTACTTGAATCTTGCTAACCTTTTTAGAAACCTTACTAAGATCGTGAGACTGGGAAATCTTAAGATTTTATAAGACTTTTGCTATGATCTTAGTAAGATCTTGCCAAGATGTAGATTGCTTTTCCAAGATTTTTTCAAGATTTGATGAGAGCCTGTTAGGATCTTAATAGTAAGAACTATCACATTTTTTAATAACATTCGTTCACGATTTACTATGAATCTTTGAATATCTATCCTATACTGTTAGAAATCGTAGTT